TTTTTTTTTTTTTTTTTAATTTCTTTCTTTTTTGTTCTATGAAATCAGGAATAAACTAGAAGGTAGCACCAGGCATCCAATCAGCAAAACCTCTAAGGGCTGCAGCTCACCCGTGAACCCCCGTGGCGCTGGCAAGTGTGACCACGGGGAGTGCCCGCAGGAAGGGACTTGTGGAAGGGCCGGCAGTGGTCCCCGGACCCCTCCAGTGACCAGAGACTCCGCCTCCAGCCGCTACGCTAATAAAAAGGGAGTCTGTGCTTCTGTTCTCAGATTAAATCAACCTTTCCTGTTGGTATTAAAATTTCCCCCAGTCTCATTAACAGGTATAACAGTATTTCCATAAAAAGGTGTCTTTTGGGAGCTACTTTAGCCCGTTCAGAGGGGAGGGGGTGGGGACTGGGTGAAAGCGGCGAAGGGCGTGAGAGGCACAACCTGGTGGCCACGAAGCAGCCACGAGGCAGCAAGTGCAGCTTAGGGAATATCGTCAATAGCATTTGCCATAACTGTGGATAGTGCCTGTTGGTTCTGCAAATATCAAGGGGGGCACTTTGTAAAGCGTCTGAATGTCTCGTACACCTGAAACCAACACAAAATAAAACTGAAGACAAAAACCAAACGAAAAAAACATGGCTCGAGGAAGGTTGGGGAGCCTGCCTCCAGGCCTCGGCCTGGTCGGGGGGAAATCGGGCCTGTCTCCTCGGCAGGCCTGCCGGCCCGCGGTGTCCGAGGATCGGGAAGGGCTGGCGCTGCGCCGTGCTCTCCGCCCTCTCCGCCCCCGCCCCGGCGCGTCCTACCTGGGACCGGCAGCAGGCACAGGAGCAGCAGGGCCAAGGCCAGGTAGCAGATCCTCATGGCTGCCGGCTTCCCGCGCGGACACTGCCCGGGAGACGTGCTCCTGGGCCTTATAAAGGCTCGCGGGCCGCAGGCAGAGCGAGCCGCAGCTGCAATTCCTGTCATGTCACAGTGATGACACATGACGTAGCTCCCGGTGCCTCATGCCAGTGCCTCTCACCACGCCGGCCACACCCGCTGAGCCGCAGGCTGGTCGCAAACCTGAAGGGTGAAGCAAAGCCTGGCACGAGCCTCGGGCTGTGCGATGCCCCCGGACCCCGGGCCCTGGTCCAGGGCTGGCTCCCATCTGGTTGAAGGCACAGGTGGGGGGACCCGCCTCCTCTTGGGCGCAGTCCGAGGGCATGTGGCTGGGAGCTGGCTGGCCCCCATGGGGCTGCCTCCAAGCCTCCTGCCTTCTTCCTGACATCCTGAGTGTTCGAGGCCCCCCTGGGAACACCGTCAGTCCAGCCCCCGACGGATTCAGATCTCGGTGTAAACGCGGCTGGGTCACACCCGGAGGCGGCACGGGTGCACTTGAAATTGAGATAAAACAGGATCAGCTTTTAGGTGGTGAAGAAAGGGAGGGAAAATGGGCCACCCTCATGAGCCCCTGACCCTGTGCCCCTCGGCCACCCTGTGCCCGTGGGGGGCTGTAGCTCGGGTGAAACACGGCTTAGACGTCACCGCTGTCTGAAAACTGCCTCATTCATGAGTCAAGAAGGTGCCTCATCTCCCTCCATCAGAGGAGAATGCAGGGGTGATGTATTTGATGGGCTGGCATCTCCTCCCCGTGGGTGACGCTCCCCACGCAAATAAGGGGCTGAAGAAGATGCACTCCCGACCTCCGGTGACTCAGGGCTCCTGAGCACTCAGGGAAGTCCAGGAAGCAGGTGACGTCTGCTGGACACAGCCAACTGCTTTTTAAATTTTGTCAGTTATTAGACTTGAATGTTCAGGAATCCAATCGGCGGGCTATTTTGCGAAGAGACAAACTGGGAGCCAAAGACGCCCTGCCCGCGCCTGGCTGTGCCCGGGCTGAGTGCAGGTACGGCCCGGCCCGCCCGCTGGGCTGTGTTGGCTCAGGAGTGTGCCCTCGGGGGCCGGGGCACCTGTCGGGCTCCGTAAGCAAACCCCGAACACCGACTCTAGGTAGAGACAAGTTCCATGCGCTCAGGTAGAAGAGAGGCTGGGAGGGGGTGAGGTAGAAAGAGGGATGGGCTCTGGTTCTTCCTCTCAAGCAGCTCTCACGGAGCTAAGGGCAGATGGGCAGACAGTCAAATAAACCACACGCGGTGGATTTTGATATGCATCACCCTGAGGNATGGGCAGACAGTCAAATAAACCACACGCGGTGGATTTTGATATGCACCACCCTGAGGCGATGGGAAGGTAGAAGCGGTGGAATTCATGCTGAAGGGCGAATTCAGGAGGCAGGCTTAAGAGGAATCTGGAATTGTAGACACTTGGTCTTCTTAAAAAATCTCACTTTCCTCCTAACTGTGGGATTTGACACAAAGCAGATATTTTTAAATGAGGGGGGAAGTGAGCGTGGGCCGGGGCAGGCGTTGACTGTGGGAGAGTCTGTCTTACACAGGACGGGAGGGAGAGGGGGGTGGGTGTTGTAGGGAATCAGAGCCAGCTGCCAGCCCAGGCCCAGGGCTGGCGTCATCGGAGCCTCGGGTCCCTGGTGAGGATTCACTCTCCCACGGGAGAACCCACCCCCACGGTCATCCTTGGTCCTGCCTGCTCCTTCAAAGGCTGGGACGCGTGGCTCAGGCGACACCCCTATTTCACAAGACCTTCTTTGGAAATAAGAGGCCCTTTTCCTTGTCAGCTAATTTGGAAGCTGGGGATTGACGATTAGACTGTGGCGCCCTCCCCGCTCACGAATCGAATTTTAAGGAGCATTTATGTATTTTAAAAATATAGAAGTTGTGCATGTTTGTGGTGAAAATTCAAACGACAGAGGAATGAGACGGTGCTCCTCCCCTCTCCTCCACCCCGAGGACCACAGTGACTGNATATAGAAGTTGTGCATGTTTGTGGTGAAAATTCAAACGACAGAGGAATGGGACGGTGCTCCTCCCCTCTCCACCGTGAGGACCACAGTGACNTCAAACGACAGAGGAATGAGACGGTGCTCCTCCCCTCTCCTCCACCCCGAGGACCACAGTGACTGTGGTTTGCCTTCTTTTGGGCATATTTTACCTTTTTTTTTCTTTGAATGTCAAAAATACTTGCAGCCTCTCGAGTCTTAGCAGTCCCACGTTTACTGTCGAACAATTAATTGTGCCTAGAGAGTGTGATGGCATCACAAGAGTGGGTCCCGCTCCCTGGCCCTGGGGCTCTGAGTCACTGGGTGTTGGAAGCGCAGAGCCTGCGACTCCTGTACAGAGGCCCCGGGTTTCCTCCGGCTCTGAGTGGGCGCTTGTTCGAGGTTGATGAGGCCGAGAGAAAAGAGATTCAACCTTTCTGTTCCTGTCAGTCGCACTTCCCTCTAATTTTTTAAAGGCTCTTGTTAAAATGCGGAGCAGAGATTTGGTTGGCCCGAGTTTTCGGTCAGGGGGTAGCCCAGTGTGGAGGGCAGAACGCTAGGTGCGGAGTGAGACGTGTTCCCAGTTAACCGTCAGCCCTACCACTTATTATCTGGGCTTAAGCTTGAATAAATCACCGATGTCTTTGAGTGCCTGCCCCTCAGCAATAAGCTCAGAGAGCAATACCTGTCTTACTTCACGCGCAGGGAGAGCCCTAGGAGTTAGCGATGGGAAGTTGACTTGCAAACTGCAAATTGCCAGGTGACCCACGGACTGCCCGCGTGGCCTCAGCAGGAATAGCTAACGAGGCGGCTGAGCGGCTTCGAGGTGCCCTGAAGACTGTGGCCCGGGGTCCCAGTGGGGGAACCCAAGGGTGCCACTCTTTATCTAACGTAGTGTGAGGGTGGCTCAGCCATTTCAGTCCTGTCATCACCAGGCAAAGATAAGCATTATCTCAGCTTTCTCTGAGGAAACCGAGGCTTAGAGAGGTTGAGTGGCTTGCCCGGGGCCACCCAGGCAGTAACGGGCAACGCTCTGAGCTGCAGGGATCTACGGGCATCTCTCAGGCACCCCTGCCCTCCAGCCACCACGTGGACCGACCACAGGGATGCGCTGGCCCAAGAAGGGGAGGCAGGAATGGCCGAGCAGCAGGGTATTTCTCTTCCTGTACTTCAGGGGCACCTTCCTTGTGCCTCTAGGTGCCACCAGAAAGCCAGGTCATTCGTGGTCCCTGCTCCCCCTGGGCAGGGCTGCCACGACCCAGCATCGCTGAGGGGCCCATGTCCCACTGGGTCCATCACCTCCTTCCCCTTTGTCCTGGGCCCTAAGGAGGGTCATGTCCTTCTGCTGTGACACGTTCTGAGATTGACTCGCCATACTTTCGGCTTCTCGCCTCTCCTATCACCTATAAACCAGTCGTCTACATTAAATAC